GGGGGGGGGATTTGATAGTTTTATCGTTTTAAAGCAGGTATAAAATTCCACTTAAATGTAATATCTTGTGTACCCTGTGCATGCTGTAAAGTAGTCACCACTCCAAGCTCGCTCCCGGCATGGACTACAATCTCAATACAAATTAGTAAAACTAAACGTGAGACTGTAGTCCATCCCGGGAGTGAGCTTGGAGCGGTGACTACTTTACAATACACACAGTGACCATGGGGAACAGACGTAGCCCCCCTCCAGAAGGAAGGACAGTGTCAGAGATGATTGGAGGATCTACAGCCGAGTGATACACAAATAAGATACATTTTTGTTCATAGTTAAGGTACTTGAATGCAGTGGCGTCACAAGGGGGGCCCGCACCTGGGTGACAATGTTGGAGGGGTAACATCAAAATGACTGGCAGTCATTTTGATGCCACCCCTCTGAAAAGTCAGGCACTTGGTCATGAACTGAGAGCCCGACAGTTTCAGGAGAGAGGAGGGGACCCAGCGGCATACCTTATCCCACCGAGTCCCCTCCTCTCTCTGCCAGCGTCCATCACCAAGATGGCCATCGGCAGGTATCAAAAGGATGGCTGCGCATGCACGTAGTGACATCACGTGCATGCGCAATGACATCACTCGCATGTGCAATGACACCCGGCCTCGGGACACCCCTGCTTGAATATATTTTTAAGATTTACCTTCTGAGTTTAGTGTCACTTTAAATATGTGTTATAATTGTGTCCTTTTTTTACATTACTATTTTTGCACACACTATTAACTGGTTAGGGGTCTAAAGGAAAGAAATGGGAACAGTAGCCTGCTTGCACCTTGTATGGGGTTAGTAGGTGACACATAAACCCCCTTCTTCTTCCAGGGCACCAGAAGCATTAGGCTCAGGTGCTTTCCAAAAGGGTAACCTAGTTTTTGGGGAACCCATCTGAAAGCACCTCCCCAGTGCTAAAGGGCATGGAGGTTTATGCCAGCATATCAAAGGACTGCATGTTCACAGCCCCCCTTGCCTGGGCATACAGCTCTTCTAGTACTGAACCTGTGTAAATGAGGATTCAGCACCATGGAGAGCTCAGGCCGGTGGATACGTTGGCTGGGTATGCAGATGAGTTTTATCAGGAAATGTTTACTTTTCACTGTGCAGTGTCATACAATAGGTGCACCTTGTATGAAATGCTCATTAGTACAATAAAGATTTTGGCTAACAGGTAGAAAAATATAAGATATCAGTTTATCATATGTAAACCTTAAAAAACAAATAAGAAATCATAAACAGATTTTATTGTTTTCTTTTCCTTCGGGGCCAGTCGACATTGCATTGCATGAATGGTCACGTTAAAGGAGAACTATGGGGTCAGGGCTTTTCCCCGTAGTTCTCCTTAGGGTAACGGGAGGACACAAACTAGCGTCCTCCCGTCACCCTAAGCTCGGGATATAGGGAGCTATAGCTCGTGGTATACTGAGACGCCGCAGCCGGAGTGGATCCCGACATCGATGTCGAGATCCGCCCAGCTGCGTGACTGACAGCTGGCTCTGCCTATCTAGAGGCAGAGCCAGCTGTACCCGCCCCCTCCCCCGTCCGTTCCGCCAGTCAGCGCTGGAGGATCGGAGCGGGGAGGGGGGAAACCAGCCCCTCCCCTGTCATGGCAGAGAGCCGTGACAGGATCTAGAGGTGAGCGAACGCCGGTATATGTTCGCTCATCTCCCGATCTACTGAGCCGACCGGTGACAGTCTCATTGTCACAGGTCGGCTAGAACAATGAGGTGATTGAAAAGCACCCCCCCTCCTCATAGTTCTCCTTTAACATGTGCTTTACCGCAATGTGTGGCAAAAGTGCATTGGTGGAATGTGGTGCTGAATGGCAACCATCGTACCTGCCAACGAATGAGCATTGCAGCTCAGTCCAACAGTCTTTGTGGTTTGGTGCACTGCCGAAAAATGCTGTGTGCACTATTTTCTGGCACAAAAACGAAAAAGATACCCTATCGCACTCCTTACTGGAAAGGAAACACAACATTGGATGAAGGGGGGTGCTCGCAGTGACCGCAGATGGCGCCAACACTCAGTACAAAAATAGATGGCTGTCACCAGCATACCAACGATATTCAAGTCCAAAAAGGTCATTTATTGGAACTTCATGTCACCAACACTAGCGCTTTCGGGGCCACGCAGTGTCCCCTTCATCAGGCTCAGTAATCAAGGGGACCCTTCATCATTGCTGAGCCTGATGAAGGGGACCCTACGTGGCCCCTAAAGCGCACTCCACGCTTGGTGTGCGTTTCGTATATTCGTGTGGAAGCATATACATTCGATGCACATTGTGATGCGCTACATTGTGAATGAGGACTTACTACCTTTTGAAACTGCTGTATAAA